GTGGTTTAAACGGAGGCTCAGTTTTTCATAAAACTCCCTCAACAGCTTCAGCATCTTCACAAAGCCCTTTTACTTTTTTAAGTTGACACTTTAACAGTTTTAGAGGGCACAGAAGCCTTTCTAAATGGTTTAATAGTCTTAGTTTGATTAGATAACTGTCACAACTTCAAACATCTGGAAATTATCGCAGAATAAGAACTACTATTCTGGAAGTCAATAACTCTCCTCTTCATATCTTGACAATTTTTATCTTTCTATGCTGCCAAACAAGAAGCAGGGTGATGATGAAGATGTTGTCTTATAGATCGTCTTCAGGTTTGCCTTACAAAGCCATCACATCAGCATCTGGGCTTCCCCAGGTTGTTTTTATGCAGAGCTATCTTTGTGTTATTTTTACAGTTTATATAAATGTCTGGTTTTAGTAGGTAATCAAACTGCCAGAAAGGCCATTGCCACCATAAAAAGGGTCCGTCTTTAGTTTTCTTTGCTGTGAAAACAAAAAACCAGAGATATTTTGCAGCTCAACTATAGAAACTTTGTCACCTTATCAAGTAGAAGATATTTTACTGCACTAATTTGAAAAATAAGTATCTTCTTTATCTGAAGTTGCAAGTTAAAGCATTACATTATGACACAGCTACTGTTATAGAATCCAAAAGAGCAATTCATAAGTGTGCTTCCCCCTCCTGTCTCTATAATGTGTGTAATGTGAGACGTCAGAGCTAACAAATAGGTCTCATATGATTGTGATGGCGTGTTTAGTGGAACGAGACAAGCAAAGATCAGCAGATCGTGTTTACTCACTCTGTTGGATCGTTTGTCTCTGTAAGCACCTGCTGCTGTCAGGGTTGCCACGATGACTGAGAGCGCTCAGATCCTCCGCACCATTACTGACGCTGGAACTGCAGTCATTACAGACGGGTAACCTTAGAGACTATTGATCAACTGTCAGATGACCTAAACAGCGGCGACAAATGGAATAGGATGGGTGACGGCCATTAGGAAACATGTCACATTTACCTTTAGCTGGAGTTTGTGTTTTTCTTCAGCTGATAAAATGTTGTTTGACTCATCTTATGAGAAACAATGTGATGAGAAGTTGAACTTTTCAGGATAATTTAAATTTGTAACTATCTGTATTATTTTCGCGCTCCTACTTCTGTGTTTAATTCATTGTATGCCAGATATATTTTAGATTCAGAATGATAATAACACAACAGAAAGAATAAAGGGATAACTTTTTATGTTAAAAAAACAACAAGATGATGTAAAGCTTTGGAAGAGGATCAGAGGGCAGAGATGAAAAGAGGGGTAAACAAATGTTCACAGTTCTGAATGAGTATGTTACAGTTTCGGATATTGTATATTAATAGACTGAATAATACATGATTCAATCTTAAACTGATGGTTTAAAGAAGACATGTAAAACAGAGTAAAGACTTAAATATACTCGTTTGCACAAAGATGATTAGAAGATATATAGCTGATATAGAGGAGAGGATCTGTTAAAAAGATTCATTATAAGGATAGAAATTGAACTACACTCCAACCCAAAAACACGGTTTAACATTAAAGAGCTTTGAGTGTTCAGCATGTAAAAAAAAATGTCCCTGCAATCTATCACACACAGGCATGGTCATCTGCAGCATATAAAACATGATTGTTCTTGCAGAGAGGGTTGGCTTTCAGGTACAGAGCATAAAACCAGCTTTAAAGTGTGTGTGTGTGTGTGTAATGTGTGTGTGTGTTTCAAAGTCTGCAGATTATTCAACAGCCTCAGTGGGGAACAAGTTAATTTTTGTCTTGAAACCAGTGGTGGCAGCGAAGCCAGATTTGAGCATTTTTACAATTATATAACAACCAGATGTGACTGTTAAGTTTGTGTGTGGGGGTGGGTGGTGTGTCACCTACTTCAGGAAACAGGAAATGGATTACAGGAGATGAAGAAGGGAACAACAAAGATGTTTAAACATCTGGATCACACTATTTGATAATCAACATTAATGAAGGAAGCATTGTAATTTTAGAAAGCAGAATCTAAGTTTTAACAGCACATAAAAAATGTTCTCCAAGGATCTAAAGAGTTTTAAATAGGAAAATCCCACCAAATGTTTTCCCCATGTGCCAGTGAAGAGCCACAACCCATTACTGATCTAAACACAAGAGCCTTTGTTAAAAAAAACTGAGAGAAGCTCTTTTGTTTGCAGACAGTTACAGAAAACCATTGACATAACAGGCCATGTTTTCTGTTACCTGTTTGGATCCTCTCACCCTTTCTGCACCATCTCTGCAGAAAAGCAGTGTGCAGTTTAAAAACCAGGTTAAAAGTTAACATTCTATTACCTTTAGGTGTGAATGTGTGTTAGTATGGTTGCTTGGCCTGGTTGCCTCTGTGTTGTCCTTTGATGGACCTGCAGCATGTTCAGGGTGTACAGCCAACTCTCATTCAATGACCACTTAACACATTAATTTTTTTATCTAGTATTTATTTAACTTTTTTTCAATTCAGCAATGTTATTGCATTTTTTCACTGAAGAAAAAAGTCTTCACCACGCTGCCCCTTTGACTATTCTCTCTGATCAGCAAGCAGTGATGTGAGGCAGAGCGCAACATTTCTGCTCAAATTTGAAAAAAGTGATCGTTTTAACACCTAATCTAAACAGTGAGACCAACTGTTTTTTTGTCACTAAAATCAATGTATTTTTAGCTGCATGGAGATTTAGACATTTTTCTAACCTTCTTATTGTTGGAACCATGCTTTGAACTAGTTAGGCCCGAGCAGCTCACCGCTGCGAGAGCCTATTGTTCCTGTANGGGTGATGAAGAGGATGAGGGGAAGCAGCAGCAGGCATAGGCTGAAGAGCAGGAGAATAGGCTGGGAAGGAGCGTGGAGCCAGCGGTCGCTTGGTTCCCGCGGTCGCGACATTCCAGGTGGTGCGAGCTGCGAGGGCCGTCAATACCGCTCGCGGTTTTAATTTGTTTTTGTTTTTTGACTGTTACTTTACTAATGAATGCTTAGTGAACTTTTACTGGTATCAAAGTAGATTGTCCTGGTGACTGATTCTTAAAACTGGCGCAGTTCCTACACTAGGGCTGAAACAACTAATCGGATGAATCAGGTTAATCGAATATTGCAATAATTGTCAACTAATTTAGTAATGGATTAATCGTGAACTTGAGTTTAGAGACCGTAAAATATGTCTTTAGGTGAAAGAGTAACCAACCGTTGAGTAGTAATTATAGCTGAATCGTAAAAAAAATCAATAAATATTTCAAAGTTAAGATAAAAAAGCATTTTCGTCTGTCAATATTCTCTATTCAGAGCTCCTCAAGTGGACTTTTCTTAGTTTCACCTGGTTTAATTTCATAAAAAGTCTTCTTTAAGGAACCTTTGGCTATCCGATTATTAATCGACAGATTAATCAATTTGTCAAAAGTTCATCAAGCCTTTTTCTAAACTGCAACAGTAATATTGAGTTCCCAGGTATAATAATATACTGATGCAAGTAATTAAATCAAAGCCAGTGATTTATCATATGTTATCCTGTATTTGAATAATGGAGGCTTAAAAACACATTACAGTATATGGAACCTTTAATATAATTACTGATGGTACCATGGTTGGTTGGTACAGTGTGTTAATTACGAATATAACTAAAGCATTTGATTCATTTATACTTTAAAGTTGATCGGTTCTGGGAACCTGAACCTCTTTATGCAGGCTAGAAAAAGGGCTTCTCTCTCCCATAATAACAAAAACAAATTTGCAAAGTTCATTAAACTCTGCTGTTTGCTTTGGACTTATGAGATTATTGACATTTTTGGTAGAAAACCAAATGCAAGCAACAGGGGTGAATACCATCAGAACTGGGTAATAATGTTTATTGCCTTTTTATGAACTATCGTCTATCTTTATTAGTACTTTAAAGTATGAAAAAAGTATTTTAAACACTGCAGCTCATCTGTTAGCCAGTAAAATAAGAATGAACACAAAACTCTAGTGTTAAAATCTCTTCACATACATTTCAAAGTTTTCTTTCTCACTTTCAAAGTTTTAAATGGTCTAGGACCAGCTTGCCTACATATTCTCAAATTCTTATATATATATATATATATATATATATATATATATATATATATATATATATATATATATATATATATATATATATAGGGTTATATATACGGTTATATATATATTACAGTTTTATATATGTTATTTTAAAAACATTTTTAAGCAATTTGGCCAACTGTTTTTAAACTTGCCATGTCATTTCATAGTTAAATTTGACTTTGACGCTTACAAGAACTTTTTGAAATACTAGGAAGTATTAGTTTTCTTCTCTTTGCTAGAGATCTGAAACAGAGTTAGTTTTGAGTATAATATATTTTACTGATCTAAAGAATTAAGCTAAATAAACACATGAATGGCTCCTCCTAAATATTGTGGAAAACCTGTACTGAGGAGAAACTGTGTAGAGAAATGACCCAGAATCCCTCTCTCTGTTCTTCAACCTTCTGGAATGTGTTAATATTTGATAAAACAGTAATATCTTATGATAGGAATTTTTAAACCCTAGATATTCTCATCTGTGATTGTGTTAGTAGAGCTGTCACCAGCTGGCTGCTCTGCATCAGGCTTCAGCCCGATCAGTCAATGACTGTGTCTGTCTTCTTAATCTGCTGTCTTTAAGTCATTACTGTCGAAACAGAACTCTGGGCTGTGGAGTTCAGCTCTGTTTAACCTCGCAGCTATGAGCCAGTACACTCATTACTGCTGCATTGTGTGAATCTTGATGTCTCTGTTTAATTTCCAGGTTACTCTTTAAGTTTCTCTGAAAATAGGAAGCAATGATGAGTTCATATCTTAGAAATAGTGAAAGTTATCTTTTCTCATGCTTCTATTTTTTGTTTTAGAAATAAAAATGACAACTCAACAACAAACTTAGATGCCTCTTAGCTGATGAGATCTAATAGTACACCTTGTTTTCTCTCCTCAGGTGAGCCTGAGTTTAAATACATTGCCAACATGCACGGTAACGAGGCCGTGGGCAGAGAGCTGATCATCTACCTCGCTCAGTACCTTTGCAATCAGTACCAGCAAGGAAATGACACCATCATCGAACTCATCCACAACACCCGTATCCACCTCATGCCCTCCATGAACCCAGACGGCTTTGAGAAGGCAGCCTCACAGGTGAGGAGGCAGGTCTGAAATGGTCCCCTTACTCATTGGCATCTCTAGTGATGAAAAAAAGCCTTGAAATAAGGCGCAATGATTATAACATCTCAGTTTTGTTTATATATCTACATCACTTTGTGAAACAGTTAATTTCAAAGTACTTTATAGATAAAGCTGCGATTGTATTCTTTACTATTTATACATAATAGAGGAGGGTGCTGTAAAAGGAAAATCTTTGGATACTCTATTTGGCTGCAGTTACTTGTGTTTTTGCACCTTTTCTAACGATTTATTCTTGTTTGGTGCGAAGCCTGGAGAGATCAAGGACTGGTTTGTGGGTCGTAGCAACGCTCAGGGAGTGGATCTGAACCGCAATTTTCCAGATTTGGACCGCATCGTCTACATTAACGAGCAACAGGGTGGAGCAAACAACCATCTGCTGCAGAACATGAAGAAAGCAGTGGATGAAAACACCAAGGCAAGCAATTAGTCTAAGTGATTCAGTGAAACAGCTCATAGAAATCTGTTGTTAAATGCTTGATAGTTTTTATACTTGGGTTTGTGCAACTCAGCCCCACACCAGTCTATGTGTAAAGTTTTTATCATCCTCACATATCCTTTTCTGCTTCAGAGGAACCAGGGTTTCTTACCGTGTTGTGAAGCAGTCTTTGGAATTTGGCCACATTTTCTCTTTTTTTCAGTCCAGTCACAATAAAATATGCTTAAAAATTAGGGAAGTTGGAAAATCCTCTTTTTTTTGCATCAAAGTTACTGAAACACACCTGGCAAAATCAATACTAAACACCACTTATCTCATGGGTAAACGGTCACTTAGGACCAATTAAGAAATAATAAGATTTGGCTTCTTGGCTATACTTGCAGTAAATTTAAAGCTCCATGGGGGTTGCAGAATATGTGATCTTCTGCAGTTGTTACTTTGACGGTTAGATACGTATATAAAGTCACTTCCTCTCTCACCTCAACTATGATAAACACCGTTTCAATATCAACTAAAATAGCAGAATGCCTCTTCTATCGTTCCAGCTGGCTCCTGAGACTAAAGCTGTGATCCACTGGATCATGGACATCCCCTTTGTCTTGTCAGCTAACCTGCATGGAGGAGATGTTGTTGCCAACTATCCCTATGACGAGACACGTAGTGGTGAGTTAATTTAACATATATAAAACTTACACACGTTTTTTTAAACTTAATTGTACAGGGATGTAATTTTTGTCTTAAATTTCCACAAAAACTTTTCAACTACAATTAAAACTCAGTTTTTATTTATTTGTTCTTCATCCTAAATTCTATTAAAACCAGGAGGAAAATTGCCTGTGTTGCTTATGATATTTTGTGTTTTGTTTTCTTTCTGCTCACATCTGCTTATGACAGGATCTACCCATGAGTACAGCGCCAGCCCAGACGATGTTACGTTCAAGTCTCTGGCCAGAGCGTACTCCATATACAACCCGGTCATGTCAGACCCACAACGACCTCCCTGTCGCAAGAATGATGACGACTCCAGCTTCAAGGACGGAATCACTAACGGAGGAGCCTGGTACAGCGTACCCGGAGGTGAAGCATCCTTCCTATGAGCTTTGCTCTGCTTTTGGCAGCTCCTTTTAAATGGAGTTTAAGAATGGTCCTTTTTTATGAGATAGACTGTTGAATGCAGTGCCATCTAGTGGCTAAAACTACACATTACTCCCAAGTGTTCTGTGAAAAAAATAGGATGGAATCGCTCTGCAGGCTTTCTATGTTTGAACCACTGATGTGGAAGAACTTTCTGCTAATAGAAAATGTAATATAACTTATGGATACATTTATAAGAACGGAAATACATTTGTGTTATAACCTAGATGTTGTTGCATCATCCTAAATGTTTTTTTAAATTTCAAAACCCTAAAAAGACATTTGAAAGGTTTGTAGTCGTGTCCCCCTTCTCATCCGGGTCCGGGTCACTGGGGCAGCACTCTCAGTAGAGACTCCCAGACTTCCCTCTCCACAGACACCTCCTCCAGCTCCTCTTGGAGAAGCCTGAGATGCTTCCAAGCTAGGCGAGAGACATAGTCCCTCCAGGATGTCTTGGGTTTTACACCTTGGCCTCCTCCTGGTGACGACGTACCTGAATAACCTCCCAAGGAAGGCGTCCAGGGGGCATCAGAAAAAAATGTCAGAGCCAGCTCAGGTGACTCATTTCGATGTGGAGAAGAGGCTCTGCTCCGAGCCCTCCCCAGTGACAAAGCTCCTCATCTCTTAAGGGAAACCAAAGCCTAGCTGAAAAA